TACTATCACGTCAACGAGAGAAAGCTTGATGCGAGGGCCAAGAAGGCTATATTCTTGGGGTATGCGGCAGGTGTAAAAGGATATCGCCTATGGTGTGTAGAGAATTCTAAGTTCATAATCAGTAGAGATGTTACTTTTGATAAGAACTCCATGATAGCTTCGTTGAAAGCTATAGTGCCCGGTGGTGATGATGTTGAGACTACAAAGTCTCAAGTTGTTGACATAGAACCTAGAGATCAACCTGGTTCTAGTCATGTTCAAGAGGAGCATCATGCAGACACTCAAGATGAGAGTGATGATGAGCTTGAACAAGAGGCGGTTCAGCAAGAGAATGTACAGGCACAGCAACAACAACAACTTGCAGATAACTTGGCTTCCTCTAGGCCACGTCATACTTACAAGCAAGTTCTAAATTTGGGGTCAGACGAGCCTTTGAGGCACTATGGGCAGACAAATTTGGTTGAGTATGCACTCTCGGTGGAGGATAATGAGCCTGCCACTTTCAAGGAAGCTATTTTAAACAACAATAGAGAGTTGGTTGCCAGCGATGGAAGAAAAAATTGAATCACTTTACAAGAACCAAACATGGGAGGTTGTCCCATTGCCCATGGGTAAGAAAGCTATTGGTTGCAAGTGGTTGTACAAAAAGAAAGAGGATCCTACCAAGCTCGGTGGTACTAGATTCAAAGAAAGGTTAGTAGCTAAGGGTTTGCACAAAGAGAGGGAGTTGACTACAATGAGATCATTTCTCCGGTGGTCAAGCATACTTCCATTCGGGTGCTATTGAGTATTGTTGCTCATCATGATCTTGAGCTGGAACAACTCGATGTCAAAACCGCCTTCTTGCACGGGGACTTGGATGAGGAAATCTATATGAATCAACCTGAGGGCTACAAGGTTGAGGATAAGAAACGTCATGTATGTTGCTTGAGAAAATCACTATATGGATTGAAACAATCTCCTCGGCCGTGGTACAAGCGATTTGACTCCTTCATGCTAAAGCATGGTCTCTCCAGAAGTGAGTATGACTGTTGTGTTTATATTCAAAAACTTCAGGGAGGTAACTATATCTATCTTCTTTTGTATGTGGATGACATGCTTATCGCTTTGAAAAGCAAGGTGGAGATATATAGGTTGAAATCTCAACTTGGTAAAGAATTTGAGATGAAGGATATGGGGGCTGCTAGGAAAATACTGGGTATGGAGATTAGAAGAGAGAGGACGAACCGACGAATGTTCTTGAGTCAAAAAGACTACATTGAGCGGGTTATTGCTAGGTTCGGGTTGTAAAGTGCAAAGTCGGTGGTGACTTCATTGGCTCCACATTTCAGGCTCTCTCGTAAACAATCTCCTACTACAGCGGAAGAAAAGGTACGCATGGATCGTGTACCTTATGTTAGTGCAATTGGCGGTTTGATGTATGCCATGGTGTGTACACGTCCAGATATTTCACAGGCGATTAGTGTGGTCAGTAGATTCATGGAGAATCCGGGTAAGGCACACTGGGAAGCTGTGAAGTGGATCCTGAGGTACTTAAAAGGTACCGCGGACACAGGTTTATGTTTTGGTGGAGATGCATGTCATATAAGTGGGTTTGTGGACTCAAACTATGCAGGTGATTTAGATAGACGACGATCTACTACTAGATATATGTTTTGCATACATGGTGCCCCAGTTAGTTGGCGATCGATGTTACAGGCTACAGTGGCTCTTTCTATTACAGAGGCCGAGTATATGGCCATGGCAGAGGGAGTGAAGGAAGCATTGTGGTTGTGAGGTCTTCTAGATGATTTGGGGATTGTGTGGGCTTGTGGTGTGATAGCCAGAGTGCGATTCACTTGGCTAAGAATCAGGTTCATCATGCTCGAACTAAGCATATCAACGTCAGGTATCATTTGTGCGTGATGTCATAGAGGAAGGTGATATTTCTCTCTTGAAGGTACACACAAATGAGAACCCAGCAGACATGTTAACCAAAGTGGTAACGGGTAGCAAGTTTCAGCATTGCTTGGACTTGCTTCACATTAGTCCGTGCTGATATGCCCGAAATGAGGTGAAGAGTATATGAAGGTGGAGGTGAACTACGGAGGCTTGATCCCGAGTTTTGGGTACGTAGGCAATCATGGTTTGAATGATGCAGCCAAGTTTGGCGCTTGCTGCTTCTTCTTGTGTTCGTCCAAAATTTAAGTTCTATCAAATGATGTACGAAGTGGAGAATTGTGAGAAAGAAGAAACAGGGAGGCCGCTTAGGCGCCATGAGTGGGCACCTGGGCACCCAACCGTGCAGAAACTTGGCGCCTAGGCGCTCGATTCAGTTTTTTATATATAGTTGATTTTTTCCCTTCATTGGATAAGGTTTTTTAAGAGAAAAAGGTGAGAAAGCTTGGAGAGAATTTAATAAGAAAGTGGTTGTTCTTCTTGGGTATAAATTTAAAGCTATTTTTCTTTCTTGGAGATTAACTTGAGGTTTGTTCAAGTAATCCAATCCATTGTTCCTCATATATATTGAAAATCATTTCTTCCCCAAATTTCTTATCTTTCTTTTCATCTTCAAATGGTTTGGGATTTTCACATTGTAAGTGTATTTGTTCTTGGGCAATTTTGGGAAGTGTTTTTTCTCAACATGATATTTATGATGTGCCATATTATTTTTACNTTTTTGCCCCCCCCCCCCCCCCTTCCTTTGTCCAATAAAAAGCTATCAATTGTATCTATAAAAAATTCTGATAGTGCTTTTTCTGTACGTGTAGCATAACTTATTGAAGACTATCGGTAGCGCCAACTTTTGTCACTGATTAGTTTATAAATTAACGGGTAGCCTAGTCCCTCAAAAAAAATAAAAAATAAAAAATGTCAAAGTACGAGTTGGAAGCAACATAAACAGAGTAAATATACTCCGATAAAAACCAGACTGTTCATATAAGGGATTAGATCTTTGTTTAAGCAACAGCATTGTTACATAAATAGAAGAGCTAATACAAGCAGAATATTGAAATAAGAAAATAAAAAGGAAAGCAGTAAAGTCTTATTTCCTAAGTAGATAATCCTATGCAGCTTATTTTTATCAAAGAAAAAGGCTCGTAAACAATCCCAACGCTTGTAGAAATCACGAACACCTGGCACTTTGTTTGGTGAATCATCTGTCAAAATCTTAATATCAGTGGAAAACTGGAAACAATTTAGCAAACAAGTAGCAGTGAATGAATAAACAAACCATTAATGCGTTAAGAAATTGTCAAAAAATATATATATATAAATATATCATTGGGTTAAAAAGGCTTACCTCTGTTTGTGTTAGAGGTCCTCTCACGGTAAACGCAGCGACCGATTTGGCCCACTGGCTGAAGGAATGAAATCCCAGATTGCAGAAGTTCTATTGGACTTTGACTATAGCTATCTGATTGAATAAAATTAAGTACAGTATTGACGGTGAAGTAAAAATATAGTTGCTGCGGATGAATTTACCCAAAAAAGTTAGCTCAAACGTGATTAGTGGGTTTGAAGTTTGAACCTTTCCGCCAAAATAGTTAGTACCAACTTATTTTTCTTCTAAAAATACTACTTTTTCGCCGGATTTTTTGAAGTGATATTGAGAGTCAAATTTCTGCTCAAAAAGTCTTTAATGTCATTGAAAAATAAAAGCCCCAATTTTCACGTGCCTAATTATTTAACCTTCTCTCTCTTACTTATGAAATGAAAGAATTCTGCAAAACTGTTTGTCCATTCTTGCAGCCGTCTGGGATTATTCAATCTTGTTTCTGATTATCTAATATCTGATAAATGGTAACTAGCTTAAAAATTATCAAGATTGACGGAATGCAAGAAGGTAACATATATAAGAAGAAAAGATGTATCTTCTTCACACAAAACAACTGTGTGAAGTTGTAGTTTACACAACGATGTAATCTGTATATACAGTAAAAGAATATATGCAAAATAGGTTGGCCAAAATTTACTTCAAAATCGATCAGCCAACGGAATATAGATAATCAGAGGATTGATTCTGAGAATACTCATCTCATCTGCCATCGAGAATTGTGAAAGAAATTTTGTTGGCAGAGCCTGTTTGGCTCGAAGAAGATCCTAAATGAGGATGATTCCACCTATCCGTAAATAAAGGTTCCTTCGGCAATGGAAGATCAACAATTTCAGTACTGAGCATTGAGAGAACGGTTGATATAATCGGCCTATTTAAAGGGGATTCTTGGACACACAACAATGCGATGTGCATGCATCTCGTGATTTCTGCATTGGAACTTGGATTTGATATTCTTTTATCTATGAGTTCCACGGATTTGTCCTCATTCCATAGTTTCCATGCCTGAAAGTATATGTAAAACATTCCATTAGACACAGAAGTTTTGTTCAGTTAGAAATAAGAAAGAGAAATTAAAATCTTGCGTGGCAGAAGAATTTGATAGGGCTTACATATCCCGAAAGGGTTAAAGATAGCTCTTCATTGTAGAAGCTTGTGTTCCTTCTCCCGCTAATGATCTCCAATACTAGAACTCCAAAACTGAAAACATCCGTTTTTTCTGAGAATCTGCCACTTAATGCATATTCTGGGGCCATGTATCCACTGCAACAAGACATATTTAGTCATGATAAACAAAATACTAAGATTACTACAATGTAAAAATGGAGCAATTCAGGATATGCTTACTATGTTCCTACAACTCTTTTAGTTTTGGCTTGATCTTGATCGCCTCCAAATATTCGCGCCATTCCAAAGTCTGAAATTTTTGGATTCCACTCCTCATCGAGCAATATATTACTTGGCTTCAAATCTCGGTGGATTATCCTCAACCTGGAATCCCTATGTAGATAAAGGAGTCCTCGGCCAATACCTTCAACAATATTGAATCGTTTCCTCCAATCCAGAACCATTTGTGTTTGATCTATACATACAATTGATATCAGAAGGTCCTAAAATATATATCTTATGTCGAAAGGAAAATTTATACTACTAAAACTATAACACAAAACAGAGTAAAACTCACCAAAGAGAAAGACATCCAAGCTTCTGTTTTGCATATATTCATAGATCAACATTTTTTCATATCTCTCCACACAACATCCCAATAGTCGAACAAGGTTTCGATGTTGGAGTTTAGAGATCACAGCAACTTCATTCTTAAATTCTTCCATTCCTTGCCCCGACACTGTTGAAAGCCTCTTTACTGCAATTTCTTTTCTGTTTGCCAACTCTCCCTACATTAAAATATCACTCATTTATACACTAACTATTTTATATAAGGTCAAATTATTAGACTAATGAGACGTAAGGATGAGAAATTACCTTATAAACAGGACCAAAACCACCCTCACCAAGCTTATTCGCTGTGTGAAAATTGTTTGTTGCATTTACAAGTTTCTCAATACTGTATAACGGTAACTCTTCAATATTGACATTGTCTTCGGGATTTCTAAGCACGATAGGGGTTGAATTCAACAAGTTTGTTTCCCCTGCTTCTTGTTGTTCAATTACATTTTTCCTTTTTCTCTTAGACATCCACCTCCAAGAGAAAAATAAGCAAATAGATATAACCACCAAACTGATTATCACCAAAACTATGATAATCACTTTTTTGTCTTTCTCCTTATCTGAAACCAAAAACAAATATGAAAAACAGCAGTTGAAAAACGAAAAACATGTTGGGAAAGTGCGAACAGATTTCCCAGAAATTACCTCGCTCTGAGTAGGGTACACGGATGTAGAGTTCTAAACCTGCATCAGCCTGGTATTGTTGAATGTCAATTAAGGTCTCACTCCAGTGCATACAACCTATATCAGTGTCATAAGAATAGGCTATACAGGAACAATTCCTTAAGCACAGACTTCTGCACTCGTTTTCAAGACCAGGTGACCACTGAATTAAGTCTGGCACTTTTACCATCCTTAACTGTGAGAATACGTCCTCTTTGCTTTTATCGGTCGCATTGTTACTTCTTTCGCACTGTAATGGCGTCTTCCTCTTGCATCCACCAGTCCAATTCCCTCCATCCCATTGCTGCTTGTTCAATGGTTCATACCCTCTTAAACATTGACATATTGGTGAATTATATTGGTTACAGAACGCAAATGGACCGCAGTTGTTATATACATCACAGTCGACATCCGGACCCTTATACGATCTATCCCAATGACCCGTCTGATTATTCCATATTTCCTCCGTTAGAATTCCATCTGGATTTAAAATATCCTTGACTATTAAATTTTGACGAAAACTTCGAGTAAAATAGTATGTTCCACCTTCATTTACCATACTGAATCCATCAACGTACACTGAGTACATACTCATTACTCCAGTAAAAACCCGACCGTTCCAAGGACCACTCCGCCAGAATGGTCGATCTTGATTCCATGAAAAAAGTTGTGGAATGCCTATAGAAACATGAAGTCCTACGAAATAATTTCCATAATTTGGATCCTGAGAAGTTCTCCAAGAATTTAGCCTTACCTTCTCACCTGTATTTGTGTTGTGACTTAATCTCAACGTAGGCAGAAAAGAGCTTGTTGGATGCTCGTGACTTTGCCATAATGAGACATTATTCGACTGATCGAGGAGAATAAGGTTTCCATTATCTGTTAACTGGGCAGATGTATTTCTTGTGGAAGTTGTAGCATTTGTGGACCAAACAGTCTCATTGTTTCCGTTCAGTAGTACGATGTTACCATCCGTGGATATCGTTATAGTCCCGGAAGAATCATTGAGAGGCCGATCTCGATTGGCAACCCATACGACGGACACCTTGGATACATAATACCATATTCCCATGTAGCGTCTGGTGGTTCCATTGGGGCTGAAGAATCCCAAACTGAAGATCTTGCCTTGAGAAACAAAGGTGTCCGAATCTCTGAGGACGGTACTGGGCGTAAGGGTGCGTGTTTCGAGACAAACACCGTAACTCGATAGACAAAGGACTATAACTATAACACAAAATTCTGATCGGAAAAATGGATTCATGAGCTTGCTGATGATCATGATTTTATTTAGGAACGTACCCTTGCTTTGATAAGGTGAATCCATCATCAAGTATTAACATATACAAGGCGGCTATCTCTACATATAAATAATCCTCCTTTTGTGGAAATTTCCTACCTAAGCTAACACGTATTGGCTGTCAACCAATTTTAGAGGGACCTGGAAGAATCTAATAAATTCTCTCCGTCTGAAGTCTAAACTGGCTATGACATTTTTATTTAGGTGGGGTGGACTAACTGAAAGCTGAAGCACATTCATATTCGTAGCCATCAAATTTGATTTCCAACTTGTCATTGCAAACCGTCGTCGCCTCGTTGATGTACTAAAATCAAATTTGTCCAAATTGTACCAATTTATATTCTTGTTTTTAATAATTACTCAAGACCAAAACCGTCGTCGCCTCGTTGATGTGCTAAAATCAATCAGAAAATGTACAGTATTTTGACTTGATGGTTTAAATACCATTTGTTTCTTTCTCACGTTTTTATTTATGTTTATGCAATTAATTTAATATCAACTAGACAATCGTCATTCTATTCAATTTATTCTTATATTATGAAAATTAATGATAATTTTTTTTTTATTTATTACTAAAATCTCTTCCGACATAGTGTCGACGATTCCGTTAGGCACATCTTACCGCCTCGACCAACTTTCTCATCTACAAACACACTCACAATATTTATTCATCCTATCCGATTTGAACATCCAATTCCATATTCTGTACAGTGTGAATTGGTGAAAGTGTTAATTTATATGCGACAATAATTGATTATTCTTTTTTCTCTCTCTATTCCGATTTCCAAAGGTGTTCTCAAAACCGTATTTGTTGAATAAAAAATACTGAATGATTAATTGATTGACTTTGATAACACAATACAAATTTTCGGTCAAAAGTGGGGTTAGTGTTTTAAAAAAAAATAATAATGGTAGGGAATATGCCTGTTCACACAACTAATCGTCTCAGTCGTTTTTATTTAATCATAAAATACTTTTAATTTTTAATAAAACGATCTCTCTATTCCGATTTCCAAAGGTGTTCTCAAAACCGTATTTGTTGAATAAAAAATACTGAATGATTAATTGATTGACTTTGAAAACACAATACAAATTTTCGGTCAAAAGTGGGGTTAGTGTTTAAAAAAAAATAATAATGGTAGGGAATATGCCTGTTCACACAACTAATCGTCTCAGTCGTTTTTATTTAATCATAAAATACTTTTAATTTTTAATAAAACGGCCTAATTGACTAATTTCTAATTGGGCACGTGCTGGCACACATTTTAAGAGTATAATATATATTGGATAATACAGTATTTGATATGGACTACGTACACTATGTGATATCTAAAATTACAATGATCATAACTCAATTAAGAATGTTTTTCGACTTTGCCGTTAAATTGTTTAACTTTTTTGTAATTATTTTTCCCTCAATTTGTGAAATACTTACAAACTCTTGTATTTTTCTAAAAAATTAAATATTGTTCGCATATTAGTTTTCACTTCACCATATTATAGTTTGCATGATCTATTAATGTAGACTCTTGTATTTAGCAAGTTGAAAATGAGAGATGCTACTCAAATAGGGGCACTGACGCAAGATTTCATAAAAAATGGGGTTGACTTTGGATAAATTAATATGTTTGACCTGCTTAGATCGTACACATTTCAATGCTTCAATAGATTCAGATCCTTGATTATGTTGATTTGTATACGTCTATTTTGGTGAGAAAGATGCTTTAGGTACATCAATTATTCACAACTTTTTTCAAAGTACACACACATGCAAGTGGATGGGATCCATGATTAAAATAATCGTAGACCCTATTTTTGTGAGACAACTGTGAGCAAAGCTATCAAAGAAATGTTGTACAAACAGCAATTTTCATTTTGGTGATTGTAATTCCAAGAACCAATAGTATGCATCAATGGTGAAAAAATGTCAATATATTCTTAGTTGCTTTAGGGTTACATCAACAAATTTATGTTGTCGATTTAGTTACAACCAATAGTCAATCCTCTTTAGTCGTTAAATTGATAGCTTTATCATATATTGGTTCAAGGATTTAAGCAAAACAAAAAATAAATAAAATAAAACGAACATATTTAACAACCTGGAGATGGATCTTGGGTTCTTTTCCATGATGACAACTACCGTTCCTGATTAATTCTCACGTTCCATCCAAGCTTCACTCCAGGAATCAATGTTGTTACTACCTAGCTTCACTGGAAGCTTATGTGGCATCAACGTAGAGCGAAATGACACATCATCAAGCAAAAGCTACTTCAGAAAGACAGTTCAAAATTGGCCCAAGTCGCCTCGCCAAAGAACGAGGCTTGAAACCTATTTTCACTTCCTTCTTAACGATCCACAACTCAGCGAACCTACTAACATAGCTGCGAGGCAAAAAGTCAGCTTCGTTTAGTGGGAAAATACTATTGCTATACAGTACTCCCATCACATGGCCAAAGGCGAATGAACGCAAGCGAAGCCAGGAAGATACATTAGGGTGGGCTGAAAATTGAATTTTTTTCTTAGATGTTCTTTGTCACTTGAGATTTAGTTTAAAAGATTAAACTCTTGACACTAATGACAAAATGGGTCAAAATATATTTTTAAACATTTATGATAAAGTTCTAACAAATATATTTTTAATTGATAAAAGTAAATATAGAGCATATTACTTATTTTGATAATAATGTTCATTTCGTGGTCAAAATAAATAAATTTTTAACTCACAAGTATAAATAAACAATATAGAAAAAAACACGTTAAAAAAAATTAATTACTTTTAAGCTTAGTCAAACATGTGACATATTACAATAAGTTGTTTATCTTTACTTTAATCAATAAAAATTATTTCTAATATAATAAACTAATTTGATTATAAATGAACTATTTAAATTTGAAACTAAATTTCAATAATTGAACATTGGATTTGGGTTGGAAATGAAGTTAATTGAGCTAAAATAAATTTTTGGACTGGACTAAATTTTTATTCTTCTTTATTTCATCAATAATTTGGGCTGAATTTTCCATTTTCTACAAGTTATTTTGCTTTCGGGCTGGCTCTACCTCTGGTGATACAAAATCTTAATATTCTTCTTGTCACATGGCGAGGGGACCGCTGCCATGTAAGTAGAAGCAATTGAAAGGAAAAGAAACAGAAATTTTTTTAAAAGTAACTTTCTCGTCAATCAACAAGTGACACATGTATTCATAGGTATGTAAATTCGACTCAAACGACCAGTGGCTCAAAAAAATCGAGCCAAGGCTCGGGCCGACCCGTTTTAGGAAGTCGAAAAAAATAAATGTTACACACACACACATATATATTAAAAGTTGATGAACTTATATTTGCTTATGTCCACTTTTAATAAGTTATATTTGCTTGAACGATTTTCAATTTTAAAATGATAACAATTTAGATGTTTTCAACAAACTTATTCAAGACATGGTTAATTGTGACCAAAAGGTGCCTGAAAAGTATAAGGCCATTATTTTACTTAATTCAATGTCTGATTCATATAGAGAGTTAAGAATGCAGTTAACTATGGTAGAGATACCTTGACACCCAAGATTGTTATAGATTCTCTTAAGAGTATGCAGGTGGAGATTAAAGTTGAAAAAGAAGATATGAGGAGTGTTAACTCCCACCTCGAGAATACATATCTCCTCTCGTCATGGCACGTTTATCTGTACTTGATTGATTACAGTGAATATTTGTTTCTATTTTGGAGCTCTTGACCTTAATCCTGATGAATACATGGAGCAGGTATGGTATGTATTCCGGGTCCAAAACACGAGATAAAATCTATGGTTTCAATTTTATTGGTTACCTTGATTATGCAAGTATGATTGTGTGTTTTGATTGCTTGCAGATTTATTGAGCATAAAGGTGGAGATTTGTTGGATTTTGATATCCAATAAATCTCGAGCAATGATGTTAAATAGTTTCGGATTATATTTCATATGTCTCGATCGATTAGTGAAATAATTATTAATACAATCAATTTATACACTAGACCTTAAAGCAATGTGGGCCACTAGTAGCAACTTAATTTGCCTAATGTTGCCTTAGTCCAAATTTATTTATGGGATGGCTTTTTTGTGTATTGACCCAATTGATGATATAACCCAAATCTATATATTACTTCACTTCTTCATCTTCTTCGTGCCTTTGTCTTCTATCGTCTCCTCTTTGCCTTTGTGGCTTGCAAATCATCCTCATAGCCTTATCTCTTTGTCGGTGACAAAGGAAGAAAGCAACCATAATGAAGTAGTGGTGGATTGGTTGATATTGATTGGTAAGTTGGAACTGCGCACAGAATCCATCAATTGAGGATCAATTTCGCGACAGGTAGAAAACTGTTTGTCGGTGGCTGTAACTTTCCCATAATGAAACCCCACTTGACTGATCCTGCAGAATAAGGTTTCCATTGTCCTTTGGTTGGTCAGATGTATTTCGAGGGGAAGTTGTGGCATTTGCTGTCCAAATAATCTATTTGTTTCCATTCATGATTATGATATTTCCATCCGACGATATCGTTATAGTCCCGGACGAATCATTGAGAGGTCGATCACGTTTTGCAACCCACATGACAGATGCACTAGAAAAATAATACCATATGCCAACGTAGCGCCTGGTGGTTCCATTGGGGCTAAAGAATCCTGGAGTGAAGACCTTTCCTTAGGAAACAATTGTGTCCAAATCCTTGAGAACTATACTCGGTGTAAGGGTGTCTATTCGTAGACAAATCCCATAACTCGATAGAGAAGGGCCCATAACTGTTCTAAAGTAACAAAGCAAGTTTTGATTTGAACGAAAGGCATAAAGATCTGATTTAGAAAAAGGATTCAGCAGCTTTCTGATAATCATGATTTTATTTGGAGTGTTTGTTGGGGAGAATGTAAACATTGCTTTGCCAAGGTGAATCCATTCTCTAATTGCGGCTATTTTGTATTTCTATTTATTTTATGTTAACACATAAAAATTCAGCCCAAATCGAACGGCCCAAGGAATAAAGCTCAATTAGAGGATCCCCAAATCAGATAGCCCAAAGAACGAAGCCCAATCAAACAATTCAAGATGAAGGCCCAAACAGGGAGGCCCAAGAACGCGGTAACGCCATCTCCCAAGTTTGCAAGTCGCCCAGAATCT